AAAAAAAAAAAAAAAAAAAAAAAGCTAACCGAAAATTTCACATACGTGCTTCAAGTTTGTGCAAAGCACAAACTGCACTCTGTCATTTCCCTTCTTCTTCAACTCCCACTCTCACTACAGAAATAGCTGGTATTCTGTCTTCACCTTCCCATCACACACACACATCATCAACTCCACTCCATCTACAGCAGCCCTTTCTCCTAGGTCAGCACAGATCCGTTCCATAAATGGATGGCTTTTCCTAGGTCCTCCACCTTCATGACTACTCTCCTCCTCGTTCACCGCACTTTAGCTTCCCATCATCTCCGTTCTATTTCTCAGAAACAGTAAGGTACTTATTGCCCCAAGGCCTGCACATTCGAGATTCCTTTCCTGGCTGGAACACTCTTCCCAGCTTTTTAGAACAGGGCTCCTTATCAGTCAGCCTTTAGTTTACCTTCCCTATAATACAACTATCTGGCCCCCAGAGGGGACTCAGTACATTTGTTCAAAGAATAGGTTCCACAGTACTCATTTAACTCCTGAATCTAAACATCTGGCACCAGTCTGACCTTTCAGTTTCAGTACCTCATTTCTAAGGGTGTGTTAGATAGCCGCACCTCAACTTTAGCATAGTAAGTACACTCAAAACCAAACCCTTCCACTTTTTTTCAAACCATTTCCCCCAATCTAAAATTACATGAGCAATATGATTCACATTTTCCATTTCATGGCAATGAATCTCACTCATTTGCTCCACCTGTCCAAAACTCTAATCACTCTTGAATTCAAATATCACTGTGTTACTCCATTCACTCAGGCATTCAATCAACTATTCATTCAACAAATACTGAGTGCCTTTTATGAGGCACGCACTATGTTAGATACAGCAAAGAAGCAAATTACATATATTCTTGTCTATTATATATGAGTCAAATAATCACACAAATATTTAATTACAGACTAAAGAATGCAATGAAGGAAAAGTGGTAAAAACTCTGAGAAAAAAATAAGTAAGCCATCAAGAAACAATGCTCTGATAATGTGCTGGCTGAATGAGATCTAACTTACAGCAGGGAGACTGGAGGGAAGGGCGTGCCAGGCAGGGGGGGTCAGCCAAGTCCCCAAAGCAAAAGACCAGCAGGCCTATCTAAGGCAACTATCACTTTGCCTTATATAGTATACTCTCTGGACTTGCTCCAAACCTGTACTCATTTTACTAGTATTTACCTAAGAGAAAGCACACAAAGTGACCTATACAAGGCAACACCCTCAGGAGATGCTGAGTCACATGTCTGATACCTAGAGATCTAAACCAGTAAAAACTTCCAGGTGACTCCAATACACAGGCAGATTTATAAGTCATATGCCCAACTACCCATCCGATAAACATACACTGACTATTCTCTCATGGAATAGCTAAGATCTATATGATAAATTGTTTTCAAGATTGGCAGCAATAATTCCACCCAAACTGCATGTCTTTTTGCAAAGTGACTTTAGACTCTACCCTTCAAGAAGAGAAGTCTATGTTCATACCACTTGAATCTGTGAGTCTGACCAAAAGAATGGAGCAACAGTGATGATGCATGACTCCTGGGACTATGTCTAAAGAAACCGTGCAGATTTCATTATGGTCCAGCCATTACGTAAAAGGAGTCTGACCTACAGTAATAAATGATAAGAACTAAGATGTCCCTGCCAAAACCTAGCAGCAAGTCTCCAGATATGTGAGAGGAGTCATTTTGAGCAATGTATCCTTGCCCTGAGTTACTAAATACACTGAGTCATGAGCAATAAATGGTTGTCATTTAAACTGGGTGTGGTGGCACATTCCTGTAAACCCAGCACTCTGGGAGGCTGAGGCTGGAGGATCAAAAGTTAGAGCCCAGCTGAGATAATTTAGCAATTTAGCAACACCTTTTCTCAAAAAGGAGTGGGGATATAGCCCAGTGAGAAAGCCCTGGGTTCAATCCCCAGTAACACACACACACATGCGCAAACACAAAGGTTGTCATTTATGCCATCAAAAGCTTTGGGGTGATTAATTACACAATAACACAACTGGAATAATAAAAATTCCAAACTCTTTAGCAGTCATTCAAATATGTCCCAACTTCGATGATCAAAAAACTCTTCCTGGTCTTCATCAAAATTATCCCTCCTTTGATTTAAACCCATTTCTCCTTAAAATCTTTGAAGTTCATGAAGAACAATTAATCAAAATCCCCCATGGCAATTATTCTTGTATTTGAAGATGGTGATCAAGCCATCCCTTAAGTTTTGCTTCTTGAGGCTAAAATCTTTCCTTTTTTAAAAACTTACATTGATAGGATCCAAATGAAATGGCACATGTGTCTAACACAGATTTCCTACCCTCCAATGGTCCATCTTTCTGTAATCTAAGCAGTCCCAAACATGGCAGCAACACAAAAGTTACTAGGTGTTCTGCATAAATCTAAGCCCCTACTGTAATTCCTATGAAACCTTTTCGAGTTTTTGTTTGTTTGTTTGGGTTTGGTTTGTTTTTTGGTTTTTTGAAACAAGGTCTTCCTATGTAGTTCAAGCTGGCTCTGAACTCACTATGTAGCCCAGGCTGGCCTCAACTCATAGTGATCCTTCTGTCTCAGCCTCCCAGGTGCTGGGGTTACAGGTATGTACTACCATACCCAGCTCTGAAATCTTTCTGTTCTTAACACGCTGCTCAGTCCACCTTGTGCTGCTGACTCCTTTAACTTATCTCCCTTCCCTGACACCCCAGTACAGCAGTCAGTTTGAACAAAGATCTGATTTTTGAAGAACAATAGAAAGAGGTGCCTGAAACTCAGGCTGGGGTGGTGCACCATTAATTTCAATGAAAGGTCTCTAACCACAACTGCCATAGGTCAGGCAAGCTCTGCCTACCTCTTCCTCCTACCCTGATGATAAAAATGCCTTGTAAAGACAAAATCCTTATTATACCCCCCCCCGACACACACACAGCTCAATACTGGAAATTGAACCTAGAACCTTCACACTGAGCTATATCCCTGGCCTTTTCATTTTGAGACAAAGTTTCCACCAAGTTGCCCAAACTGTGTTCAAATTTCCAATCCTCCTGTCTCAGCTTTCCAAAGTGCTACTATTACAGGTATGTACCACCATGCCCAGCTTGCACTTGCCTTTTGAGAAAAGGCACCATTTATGTAGAACCCAGATGCATATAACTACATAGAATCTAAACAGCTGTTTTGTGTAGTCTAAGAACATGTTTTCTTTTTGAGCTTACCTGAATATATGCTTTTATATCAGAACTGGCTTTAATACCACTGGTAATAACAAAGCCTACCCAACACAGGGTTAGGGTTATTGTATCAAATGATGTACAGAAATAATTTTTTAAAGCACTATAAAAATGCTAGGTAATTCAGTGGGACAAGATTTTAGCAGGTCCTTTAAATCTTTAACTTAGAATGGTTACCTGACAGTTTTAGGTGACACATTCAGAACAGGCAGCCATGGGCTCAAGTGCAACTGACAGAAACCCAAAACATCCATCTAACAAGGGAGCATACAAATTTTTAATGTTTCAAAGACTAATAAAGACATTTAGAATAGTGGTTTGACCCTGGGGACCTACTTCACTCATTGTCTCTGGGGGGCTGGGCTGTAGGCCAAGGACCAAATTCAGTCAAGGAACTCAAGAGCCCAGCAGAAGTGAGAGACAGGACTGAGAAGTCTAAATAAGGAAGAATACACAAGGTCAGAGAGGACTTTGTATATGAAATGAATCCCCCGGGAGACGCAGATTTTGATGGTCAGAAAAAGAGAAGCCACTGGAAAATGCACAGGGTCCTAAAGAGACAAGGTACATCCAGGGAGTGGGAAAACAAGTTCAAAGGGGTTGAAAAAGAGAAAAACGACAAAGGGACAAGAAGACAAGATGATAACAGGTAGGACAGGGTCAAATGGGAAAGGCTTTACAAATCAAACTAAGTAGGAAATAGGGTGCCTGAAATGAAAACATCAGATTTAGCCTTTTGGAAGATAACTTGGGCAACAATATGGTGCAGATGGGAGCAGAAAAGTATTTATTGTAGCGTGACAAGCCCATTTGAAGAAGTTACAAACAGTTGAACCATAAGTTACAAACATCAAATTCCTACAGGCAAAGTCAGCAAGAAAATGGTAGTCCCTGTAACCTTTGAAGAGTGCAGGCTCTGCCTAAGTATTCACAAACAAAATTTTAAGCCACTGGTTTGTTTAAACAAAATGTCCAGGTTTTTTTTTTTTTTTTTTTTTTTTTTTGCGGAAGAATCTCAAGCCACTGGGCCATATTGATCAAAGGCCTTTTAAAAAGTTCCAGGTTTTTTTTTTTTTTTTTTTTTTGCTTCAGGTAAATTAAAGCCAAGACAAGTGGGGGTGAAGAGCCACAAAACAAACCATGCAGTCAAGAGTTTAGCAACCACGCAATCAGCATATTTAGAGGACTGGAACATAAAAGAACAGTAAAATTGATGAATATAACGGAGTTCAAACATGTAGAACATATGGAAACACACACAGATAGCAAATAAGACAGTAGGTAAAATACTGTGTTATGTACATGTTGATTTTAAGATGCCATGTAAAAAAGAAAAAAAAAAGATGCCATGGTCTGTCAAGTTGGAGACAGTCTGAAAATTGGTCCAGTTGGCAGTAAGAATCTGAAGTTTGGGAGAGATTGCTGGGTCAGTAAAATACAATGAGGGTAGCTGAATGTGGGGGCACAATTGAGATTCTTGAAGGGAAGGGCAAAAGCCTGGAAGCATCTCAACTTTTATGGGACAGAGAATGTGAAAAAAGAATAAAAGGACACCCTGGAAACTAGGACAAGAGAAATGAAGAGGACACTGAGGAAAAAGGATTCGCGGTGTTAAATGATAGGCAAAGGTGGAGGGTGAGGGCCAGGGATATAGCTCAGTAGCACCACGCCTGCCTTGCAAGCACAAGTTCCTGACTTTGATACCACAAGAAAAAATAACAAAAAACAAAAAAACAAAATGATGGAGGATGAAACTGGGACATTAGATTTGATAATTAGGAGGTGATAACAGTTGATCTCCAGGAAAGCATGATGGTACAAGCCGTTATATAGGCTCCTCCTCTCCCTACCCTTACTGAGAAACTGCTATGTGCATGTGCCAAGTGCCATGGATACAAGCTTCAGTTTTCCATCTCCCTACCCTATGGCTAAAGACCACATTGTCCTGGGTACTCATCCAGCCTTGGCAGGTAAGCAGCTGCTTTGTGGCAGAAGTGACTTCTATGCTGGAACCAGCTGGTCAGGAGAGCCAGGAGGGGTGCTTCAGAGAAGGATTAGGGGCGCACGGTCTGAGGTGAGAGTGAACTGAGGTAACTGCAAGAAGAAGCAAACTCTGAAGAGGGCAACTAACTAGGGGCAGGACAATCTGTCCTCTTCAGTGGAAGTTAAAACATTTAGAGGTGAAATGGAGTGGGAAGGTTGGGCAGGGCTCTGAGAGAATCAGAGATGTGGGAGGTCCTCACAATCCCTTAGAACAGACGATGGGCAAAACTCACTGGTCAGATCGTGCTTCCCACATGTTAGTATTCACAGTTGGCTAGGAAGGTGAGCAAAATGTGTTCACATCTCTTCTGCTCATAATGGTTTGGTGAAACCAAGCTGCTTCTCAGACGACATAAAAAGAATAGGAAAAAAAAAACCAAGAACAAAAGATGGATAAAGCTATAAACCTAACGTGTTTGGCTTCTCTAAGGTTTATACAATCAATGGTCTAATTGTCTAAAGCCACATTCAGAATCCAAACAAAAGACCTCCTAAAGACCTTTTCAGAGAGCTAAAGGGCTGGCTTTAAGGTATCCAAATTGACAAGGAACTAACCCACTTCTGAGGACTATGCATTTCCCCACTTTCTACCCCCAGCTTACTCTAAAGAAACCAATAAAACTGTCTGGGGTTACCTGATTTTGCTTGTTTCAAAACATTGCCACGGTAGACAGCAAGCTGCTGTCAGCTCCTGCTTCTGAGGTTGTTGGAGCCCTATCCAGATGAGATCATCTCAGGAACCAACAGCAGCAGCTTTCAGGCAGAGTGAATGGTGCCGCCTGGGGATGTATCTTTGGTAAGCAAGATTGCAACAGAGCAGAGCCGGTTACCCAGGGCAGTGCTGACTCATGCTAGGCAAAACTCCTATTTCCCAAACAACTCAGCCTGAGCCAAGTGCAATTAACTGTAACCTAGAAAAGAAGAGGCACCCCACTGATTGTTTTAAATCAAGGGCTGTTTACTGGGGGCAGGTAAACCTTACTCCCCTGCTTCTGGTAACTTGGCAGCCTCTTGGAACCCTTACCAGGAAAGCTCCAGGGGCCAGTTCCTGAAATTTCATCTGGGGTTTGGGACAGCAAGATTGCCACAGGCAGAAAGCTCACAGCTCTAAAGATTTCCCCAGGAGAGTGATACAAAAGTCACTCTGCATTTACGAACTGAAACACCTGGGTCAGTGGCCTCAGGAACTGGACCAGTCATCCAACTGGTCAAATCATTAGGGTGACTTTTTGTCAGCTCTAACCAAGCTCAGAGTTTTTTCCCCAGGAGGCCTCCTCTGACCTATCTGCTTCCTTAGGCAACTTCGTCTCCTGTCATTAAGACAGAAATACTACAGGATTTTTAAAAATCAGATGCCACAATCTCTATGCTACAGCTAAATCATCCACCATCATACCTGCTGGATGAATAAAGGATACAGGAGGCTGTGAAAATCACTTTAATACTTGCTCTTAAAAGAAAAAAAAACCCTAAATGCATGTCAATTCTCATTTATTAGCTTGCTTATTAAAAAATCAATTCTAGAATAAGTGGCTCATCAACAGCTATTCATTATTATTGAATTTGTCCCGAGAGGCAAAATTGGCATTGGTATTATACTAAGAAAACAAAAGATCAAGCCTTTGCTGTCTGTGTGTTTTAATCTGATGAGAGAAACTGAAGTTCATATCAGATCTTTCTGTTCTCTGCTCACAGTATGTGAGGGTTCCCCACAGCCATCACCTATTTCTTAGAGGGGGCATTCCCTCCTCCATCTTTCAAAGTACCATGAACTCTGAAAGTAGCTGCCAACCCAGTTACTCATTCAATAAATGTTGGCTTAATTAAAATGTACATGTAGACAGAATTGGAGGGTTTTTTTTTAAACTATGCTATTTAATTCTATTCAAGGGGCTAGTTTAAAAAAAAAAGTCCTTTACCCAAATCATAATTCTCCTTCACTACATTATTCCAGTAGGAAAGCCATTCTCATTCTGGGCTTTTATAAGGCATTATAAAATGATCCCTGTTTTTTCTCCCCTCCAGTGTTCTCTATTCAGAAAATGGCTGTGTAAAGAAAGTTTCCCTGCAGGGTGTGTTAATCAGTCCTTTTCAAATGATAAAAGTATCTTTATAGTAGCTGACAACCATTATCTCATGGACCACATTTTGAAAATTATTTCTGTAGCTGATGATAAGTCACAGACATTCTAATGTGAAATAACTCTCAAGGTACAAACATGGCACCTTCTTTGGGGTGGGACCAGTGTTGTTACAAAAGCTTACTGTACTTGTAAATCTTATTAGTTGACTATACTTTTGTCCCACCTTGAACCCACCCCACCTCATGGCTTTGTCCCAGAAACCAGGTTTAAGAAGTTGGATGAGCGGGCAACCCATTTTCTGGTCCCCCTTCTGTCTCTCTTATATAGAAGCTTTATCTCAATAAATTTTTCCTACTTTTTTTTTTTTTTTTTTTTGGACTGGGGATCAAACTCGGGTCCTTATTTTTCCTACTCTTAAAAAAAAAAATCTTTGGGCTTTGGGCTGGGAATTTAGCTCAGTGGTTCTGCCACCCATCTGCCTTGCAAGGTCCCAAATTCAATCCCCAGTACCAAAGAAAACAAAAAACACCTTTGGGCTTAGACTAAATTGGTAAACTTTAAATAAGGGAGAGAAACTTTCAGACAGTACAATGTCAAGAAAGTAAATGTGAGTTATGGAAGGAGAACTGAGGATCAGAAGCAATGGAAGTCCATAAATCTGCTCAGACACGATTCAAGAGGTTAGGAGAGCTATATTGAAGCTTCTCATTTCCCTCTCTGGGATTCCATTAGTTTTAAATGGTTTCCCCAAAATACAGCCATACTCCATCCCAGTTCCTCCTTTTAGACTGACAAAGTTAAAGAGTATCCGCTTATAACTTCTAAAAGACGCCAATTTGAGCCAGGCATAGTAGCACATACTAGTAATCCCAGGATTTTTTTTCTGAGACAAGGTCCCATTATGTAGTTCAGGCTGGCCTTGAACTCACTAGGTAGGCCAGACTGGCCTAGAACCTGTAGAGAACACCTCAACCTCTCCACCACACAGGGGCAAAAGGAGGACCCTGAGCCCAAGACCTACCTGGGCTATATAGCCTAGAGTGACCCTGCCTCAAAACAACAAAAAAACAAAAACAAAAGAGAAAGAGAGAGAGAGATGCTGTATTTGAACTAATGGCTTCTGGCACTTGAGGTATGAGGTTATATGAGAAAAAAAACAACTAGTTTTTTTTTCTCTTTTTGAAAGATACAGGGGTGGTGGCTCCCACCCCATCCACATTTAATTTTTTTTCACTGAGTTTATTGGTATGTTTTAGGTATACAATAGTTACGTTCATCACTGGGATCTTGTACCTTTACTTGATGTGTCTTGGTGCTTAAAACAGCTAGCTTTGTGATTAAGGTCTTTCAACACATTTTTTTAATGCAAGCAATTTACTACCCAAAGCTATTTATAGATTTATTTTTTTCCAAGTGGTCACAACAAATATTTAATGAGTGTGTGTGTGTGTGTGTGTGTGTGTGTAAATCAAACAGTAAAATTTGGTCAGGCCGGGGATTTAGCTCAGTGGTGCCACCGCCTGCCTCACAAGCACAAAGTCCTGAGTTAGTTCCCTGGTAACCCCCCCACAAAAAAAATTTATTTCTTAGTATCCTGTGGTCTTACAAATACATGAAAAAAAAACTAACAATGAGAACCAAGACCTGTCATGTAAAGGTACAAGATCCCAGTAATGAATGTAACTGTACTGTATACCTAGAATGTACCAATAAACTCAATAAAAAAAAAACTAACAATGAGAACCAAGACCTGTCATGTAAAGGTACAAGATCCCAGTAATGAATGTAACTGTACTGTATACCTAGAATGTACCAATAAACTCAATAAAAAAAAAACTAACAAATGCATACAAAAAGTCCTGGGGAGATAACAAACCAGGGAGGGAACCATGTTAGGAGCAAGGCTCAAGGAGCCATTCTTAGCTTCATCCATACATGACTTGTAACAATAACATATTCAAATACTACTTGGTAAGTTAAAATTTAGAGCTTTAAATTTTTTATTATTTAAAAACTAATCTTTTCCCTTTAACATCCTTTCTTTTCAAACCTCCCATTTATCTACTTCCCTACTCCAGCAGCCTAAATGACACTGAGCATTTCAGAGATTTTATGTTTGGGGGTTTAGGTGTTTTTGTTTTGGGTTTTTGTTTCAGGTTTTTTTGTTGTTGTTGTTTTGTTTATTTGTATACCAGGGATTGAACTCAGGTCCTTGTGCTTGAGAGGCAGGCAGCAGAACCACTGAGCTAAATCCCTAGTCCGATTTCACCCTTTTTAATACAATAGTCTCGCTACATAGGCCCAGGCTAGTCTCAACCTTGTGATCCTCCTGCTTCAGCTTCCTGAGTAACTGGGATTACAGGTCTGTGTCACCACTCCCAGCTTGGATTGTGTTTTGAGAGACAGGTCACAGCTATTTTCCCTAAGCTCTACTCAGAATAAAAAGATATTTTTTTCAAAGACCACCAAGCTGAACAAAAGTCACACAGAGTAGGCTCTAGACATTAGTTCCCTCACCCACAGGAACCACAAAGAATTTAACTATGGAACTGCTATTGTTGGTTGGGCCATTATTTTCTTCAAGCCTCCAGAGACAATTATCTTAACTAACTATTAAGGATTTTAGCTGTCACAGTCAGTCTTGTTACACTGAGACATTTTCACACCTGAGATGCAGTACAAGAGGCTTAATGGAATTTTTATGGCTGTGAAAATTAAAGTTCTCTTGACTCAACAGAATAGTTAAGTAAAATAAAGGAGAAAACCTCCCTCAAAGGTACAGGTTAAAAGTTGAAGCTTCTGACATCTTGATGAGGCAGGTTATTTTTTTGTTGTTGCTGTTGCCCAGAAATTCAAACCATGTGATGCTATATAGCTCATATGTCTTGACAGTGCCCAAATGTCAACTTATCACCACAGCATCAACCAGCACAGGCTCACTGTAACGTCTGGGAGCACAAACCTGCCGTATAAAATGGCCTCTCCTGGGAGATCAAGGCTGTCGCCATGGTGGAGATCATGCCATCTTGGGGCCAGGAGGACCAGGGAGTCCTTTTAATCTTTAACGAGCCACTTTCACGTTCAGATATAAGAACTAGCACTGCTGAGCTCAACCTGCTTCATAACATTCTACTGCAAAACAACGCCAGCACAACACAAGGGCCCACAAACCCAGTTTGTCCCCACTGGTACGGTTACCAGAATCTGTTCTATAATGTAACTGTGGGCACTTTATTATCCACTACAGTGTAATTCTTCATAGCTCAGGAAAGGTATCCAATATCAGAGTCTAGCAACTACCTACCTCAGGCACAATGAAATACTAGATTTTTCTATGTCAGTAATTGAAAAAGTAGCAAGCGTGCAGGGAAAGGAGGAATGAGAAGCTGTCAGGACACAGTCTGAGGACCTGACGACAAGACTGGGAAAAGGGAGTCACACACAGACGTGATCAAATTGCTGTCTTGGGCAGCTCATTTCAGAAACCTGGAAATGGAAATCTCAAAACCATTCGATGGGTGTAATTTTCTACACAAGGCTATTTCTTAGTTTTCTTCCTGAGCTGCTAATACAGAAAAAGGGCAGGGAAAAGGCCCCTGTCATCAAATTCCATCACCTACACCACTCTAACAGCTCTGTGACAAAGTGACTAATAGGCCCATGCCCTATCACTTACCTACCCCAGGAACCTTCCTGACAACAGAGCCAGAGTCTAATTCAACCTTGAAGATTTCTGGAATTCATAATTTTTTATATATTTCTGGAATTCATAATTCTTTTTAT